CACAGCAGAATCAATGGTTTTGATTGTTTTAATTCAATCCTCCAGTTACACAAGTTCGGGGGATTTTCAAATTAAATATTTTGTTTCACTTTAACCTTTGGGTAGCAGCAGAGCTTTACTTATCCCATCTCCAGTATTTCTCCACTGTGTCTTTATACATTACCAAGGAGGGAATAAGACTCATTTAATTTTCATACTGGGAGAGAACCAGGACAAAGGCAGGACAAGTACTTTTCCTGTCTTGGCACAGCAAAAATGTTTTTGCCTCTTTCTGGCTGCAGTACTCAGAGGTTCTCATTGCCGGTCCTATTACCACTTGGGCAAGTGGTATTCAGAGGTAAGTTGCCCCATAAGAAAAACATTTGTAGCCCCAGAAGTACCTGGATGTCTCTGAGTCCTTGTGGAGGAACTTAATGCAAAGACTGAGGTGCTGTCCCCTTTGAACAAGGCAGGTGAAGGCCAGGAACTCTAGAGAGTGGCTTGTTACTGAGATTTAAAGGTCAGGCAGCCTTGTTAGTAGCTTCATGCAGAAGTTGTGAACAGTCAATTCCAAAACAAAACTAATAATGTATTATTTCTGTAAGAGGACATTGCAGTTTCTTACTTTCTCTGTTAGAATAGGCGATATTAATGCAGAATGTTCCTGTTGTAAATGAAATTAAGATTATTGAACAGCTTGGTAGAAGTGTGAACAAAAGGATAAACCCCAACCAATGTAACATATAGAGCCACCAGAATGAGCTGGGAACTGCTTCAGTACAGTAGAGTGTTTTCCAGTATTGAAATATATAAGCTTTTGTGCTAAGGAACAATTAAGAGTTATGTATAGATACAAAAAGCCAAAGGAACTGGTTTTGATCATGCAAGTGGGAATAATACTGAAAACATTATCACTTTAAAGATACCACAAAACCTAACACTTTACAGAGGAAAAACCACATAGATAATAATGCCAAACTGTGTCCTACCTGTCTGACTGCTGCAGCAATGGTAAGTGGAATGTAGACACTGACTACATTAGGGCTGGACAGAGAAGAAACAAGTAATCTACACAATGTGTGCTGCTCTGAAGTCTTAAACAAGAGGCTATTTCCTGCAAGGTAAGAAGCAGGACTTAAAACAGGGAACCACTGTTGTGGCAGCACTGGACCCAGGCATATCACAGAGCTGCCAAGGGCAGGTTCTACATGCAGATATCATTTCCCATTTTACCATTGTACAGAGACTTGGCTCTCTCACACTACAGGGACACTTGTGAGTCCCTCAGGGTTCCTGGACAGCTCTACATTGCTACATTTCCAGGGAATACTTCAAGGAGATGTGAAACTGCTGGGGAAGGGAGCTGGAGCTGTTGGAGGGGAGGTGGGAAGGAGACAGAAGAAAGGAAGCCTTTTGCACTGACCACAGTGTTTTTGCAGCAACAGCATTCAGGACTGGGAGGTCCTCCTCCTCCCAGATGCGCTGAGGTATTCACACAAGGAATCCACCAATGTTATAACTAAATATGGAAGCAGTTTGCTGGGCAGCAAATAAATATATTTAGGAAAAGGTGACGCACTGTGTTGACTCCAGTGTCACTGTAAGTGATGCTCCTCAGAGACAGTATCTCTATGTGTGAAGCTGTGAAAACTGTATCCGTGACAGTGAGATCTGGGCACCAAAAAAGGGAAATCACTGCTCTCCTTTTCCCTTCCCACATATGGTCCCAAGAAATAAGTGGGATTCTTTCTTTCCAGACAAATCCTTCCTAAGAAGATTTTGTTTGCCCTAAAGCATGTATTTGTTTAAAAAAACAAATCAACAAACAACCATAAAAGCTTAATTCAAAAATCAGCATATAGCAACTGTGGCTCAGTGAAGACATGGAGAAGCATTTCCAGCTCCATCATTACCTTTTTAAACCTGCTGACTGATTAGCAAATATCACAACAACTTTGGGAACCATAAGTTGATGCTGAAAATCCCTGCTCCCTTTGGACAATGTTATAATGACCCTCCAAAATGAACAGCCTGGTCTGACTGTGGAAAAATCATGATGCACTTGGAGCGCTTGAAACTGTTGGGACTCATCTCTCAGCTGATGGCCCAAGGATTTATTCCTAAATGCTCAGCTGATGAAAGGTAACATTGCAGGTTCCTTAAATGACAACACCTCAGGCCAATTATCTGCTTCAAACGGCATGTGTGGGAAAGGCTGAGGAGTCCCACACGTTGCACTGGGCTGACCTGGCCTTGCCACCAGCCATCCTGGAAAGCTTGGCTAAGGACTTCTGGAATCAGAGTGGAATATTAAAGGGAGGGTTAAGGAAAACCAGTTTCTCCTCACTTTGTGATTTGCTGCCTTAGCTGGAGAACAGGAGTCATTTTGCATCAACACACTATTTCTGGAGTCAGACTGCTTGTGCCCTGAAATGTGCTGATGCACAGGTAACTGATCTTGGGAAAAACATGGGCCCATTGCAGGCATAAAGGAACATCTCTAAGAGAAGGTTTAAAACAGATGCAGCTGATGAGCTCCGCTAAAGCTGCTGCCTCATGTGGACTATGGAGTTCTCTGACCTTAAACAGCTTGGCCATGAAAGATAGGAGGCATCAATCTTAGAAGAGGCACTAAAATGTGCCTCTGACCTTAAGAAAGAAGTTCCTTACAATAATCACAGAATATTCTGAGTTGGAAGGGACCTGCAAGGATCATTGAGTCCAACTCCTAAATGAATGGCCCGGACAGGGATCAAACCCACAACTGGGCATTAACCATCACCATGCTCTCACCAACTGAGCTGATAATGCCAGATCCAGCTTTCCAGTTCTCCAGGTACTCACTGTCCGTGCCCTCAGGCCACAGGAACAGTGCCTTGACCAGAAAGGGCTTTCCTCCCCAGTGACAGAAAAGGAGGGGACCAGAGAGCAAAAGAGGGAAAGGAACAGAGACACAAAGGAGGGAGAGGGAGGAGAGAAGAGGATGAGGGGGGTCAGGAGCAACTGAGAGAAAGAAATTGAGAAAGAGAATGAAATGCAAAAAAAAGACAGAAAAGAGGGGAAGGGAGGAAGAGATTGAGAAAGATTAAAAAGAAAGCAAGACTGGGAAAGAAAAATTGAGGTGGGGAACAAGGAACTGGATGAAGGAGAGGGGAGAAAGAGTGGAGATGGAAGGAAGGAAAAAAGTTGGTACCTGACCCTGGACTTCAACTCTGCTGCTTTTGATCATCTGAGAAAGTGTTTGCAAGTTACATCAGCCCTCTTCAAGTATCTGGGTCACAGCGTGAGTAGCTGCTGTTCCCAGGGGCTGAAAAGTGGCTGCATTGGACAGAGGTGTGATAAGAAGAACAAAGGGATGCAGGGAGAGACTGTAGCAGCGGTACCTACAGTCTGCAGAAGGGGAATCCTCCCTGCTCTTGTGAACCCATTGTCCACTCACCCATTTCATGCCCATTGCCCTACAATGGCTGTCTTGATGGGTCACAGAGTGCCTCAAGAAACAGATCTGTTCTCTGAATCTCTGCTTTGTCCTGGTACCGAAGGAGGGGCAGGCAGGTTGTGTCTGGTGCATCCTCACATCCCAAGTCCTTGTGAGCAGTGGTGTTGAAAGAAACAGCTTAAAACACTGAACTAGGGGCACCTTGGGGTAGCAGAAGTGCTGGTGGGGACTGGAAGGGCAGGTGGAGTGTGGGACACTCCTTGGAGACCAAAGCAGTTAACTCTTTGACATACATTCTGAAGTACAGAGCAGTGAGGTCACAGTCCTTCTTCTCCTCACAGCTCCAACCTGTGCACAGCACTTGCATAAGTGTCCTGCAGAGCAATGACATTATATTCCAACATACAAACGAAAATCTCTCTGGGACCTAATAAAGAATCAAAATTCTTATTTTAATGAAGGAAGATATGATCCTGGACTGCATCCATAAGGTATTACTAGCACAGTTAAAGAAGTGATTATCCCACTCTCTCAACAGTTGTCAGGCCTCTTGTGCATTACTGTGTTCTGTTATGATCTCCGTAGTTCAAGAAAGACATGGACAGAGGAGTGGGTCTAAAGGAGACCACAGAGATTAAGTACTGGAGAACCTGCCTTATGAGGAAAGATTGAAAGAGTTAGTTCTTTTCTCCCTGGAGAAGAAATGGCTCAGGGCATGCCCTCATCACAGTTTTCCAGTACTTAAAGGGTGTGTCAATGAGGGCAGAAGCTCTGAGCCACATGGCAAGGACAAAGGGTAGTGGGTGCAAGTTACACTGGGAGAGGTTTATTCTTGATTTATGAAAGAAATTATTACAGTCAGAAAAAACATTCATTGGAACAATCTTCTTAGAGAAACAGATGGCCTAAGGCCAGTCTCCATCACTGGAGGTTTCCACAAGGTGACTGAACAGGTGCTAGATAATCTCACTTAAATTCCCTTTCCCATGAAAGTCTGGGCCAGATGATCTGTTGAGGTCCCTTCCAACCTGAGTTGTTCTACAATTCTATGATTTTTTGAGATTTTTCATACATAAGGTTGTTGCAAAAGTGATGCAATGTCTGTCTAACTTCCTTTTATAGCCTCAAAAGAGTCAGGCTTGAAAATTAAGCTAATATACTTCCATCCAAAGATATTTGAATTTCTATTATACATGAATCATACCTCATAATCTGGTTGTCTTCTCTTTCTAATACTAAACTTCGAACACTGATTTCTGTCATTTCTGCTTTGCTTTCCGACATCATAGACATTTCCAGGCATTATTCTTCTTCCCACTGGCTTCTCAGTCTTTCCACCCTACTAATCTTCTATGTCACAGGAGCTCCAGTGTGTGGTGAAAAAAGTATCCTCTATATCACCCTCATCTTTTTTTAAAACAATGCTCAGGTGTTATCCTCTCATGTTTGCTGTTCTGGTAGGAGGAGGATGATTTGACAACTGTGATGCACTTTCCAGAACTGTTTATCCCAACATCCCTGCTCACAGTTTCTACCTTCCTCTGCTCAGTGAAATGACACCTTCCCCTTAACTGCAGATTACCTGTCACTGTAGCTTTTCAGGAAGCCATTTGGAATCCCTGTTGGAAAAGAACAGCATCACCTTTACAAAACCGTAACTTCCAACACTCCATACCAGGAGAGGTAACTGCTTTGATTTCCGTGAATTGAAGCAAGGTCACAACCATAGCAACCACAAAGAACAGAGGGAGAGGACTTAAAGAGAGAAAAGCCACACATTCACACAAAAAAAACCCCAAACCCAAAACAAAACAAAAAGAAAACACATAAACAAATAAAACCCAAAACAAACAAAAAACCCCTGCCCCTCAAATTTCACCAACAGCACTATCCTGGGGCTTGTGTTCTAGGTCCGTGGATTTGGGGTTTTATCTCACATCTCTCATAGCCCATGCAATGAACATCCTGAGCTGCTTTTCATCCCAGAGGATGCATTCAAGGCCCTCATTAATGAGTATTAGTAACTTTCTTCCAGATTGCAGTTCGTGTTTCCCACTACTTCTTTTTCCTGGGCCAGCATAGATTTCTCCATTAGATATGTCTAATAGATCTCCAAAACACATTCCTTTGCCAGGCAACACATCATGTCAGCCACAGTATGACACACAAACAGCCTGCAAGAAATACACTTTACTTCAGTCTGATCTGATTCTTATTGATTTTTATAAGCAAAGTATGTCCTTACCATTGCCATGGTCGAGTACCCAGTTATGTCTTAACAGAAGGGTAAGGACGAGAAGTTTTGCTGTAGCAGATTAGAACATCAGCATTTCTTTTCAGCATGTGCTAACACTCCTGGGAGCTCTCGTTTTACACAGAGGGCAGCAGAAATGCTGCTGCCACAGAGCCTGAATATTCCACGTCAGGCAGTTAATTGGAGTCCACAGGGTGCACTGATGCCTCCAGCATGCCCTGCTCATGCTGAGAGTGTGGCTGAGAGGAACTGAGAGGAAGATACTGAGAGGAACAACAACACTGCCAAGCTGCAAATCCCAGGGGGAATGTTTTTTAACAAAATATCTGATGTATCAGACAATTCAAAGTACTACAGAACTCAAATGGAAATATTGCTATGTTTGTCTTCGCTGTCTGTGAACTCTTTGATGCAGCTTATTGCACAGCAGATACATTATCTGGTCGTTTGAGTGTTCAGCACAAATATTTCTGACAGCTTCAAAAATAACCTTGAAAATGACAAAAAATATCACTGAAGAGTGATCCTATTAACTGCCTCATTGGGACTAATCTGTTGCAGTGTGAGAAAGGGTTCTAAAAGCTGTCTTATCTCAAGCACCGATATATGTCTGTATATATGTCTATGTACTACTGGAACCAGTTGCCCAAGGTGGCTGTGGATGCCCCCACCTTGTCAGTGTTCAAGGCCAGCTTGGGTAAGGCCTTGAGCAACCTGATCTAGTGCAAAGTGTCCCTACCCATGGCAGCATGGATTTGGGACTAGATGATCTTTAAAACCCTTTAAGATCCTTAAGACCCTTAACATTCTATGATTATGTAATTCTGTGATTTATATGTCCATTATAAGCATTCTGTGAGCAGAAGGCCTGTGTGAGAGAAACACTAACAACTGAAGTATGAAAATAGCACTAGAGGAAAATAAGCAGAAATTCTAAATAATTTGTGCTGGTTTCTACTTCAGAAGGGAGGAAGTTTCCAGAAAGAACATCTATTAATAGAGAAAAATGCATGGAACTCTCTTAACTTAAGTTCTTCACTGGATACTTCAGATTGTAGGAGAAAATATTGAACAGTAACACATCTGTCGCATCAAATTTTATATACAGAGAAACATGATTTTTTTTTTTAATTTTTATAGAAGTGACCTGTTATTTAAATCATGTTTAGTAGCAACAAAATAAAATGTTGTACCTGTGTTACTGAACTTCTGAAACTCTTCTGATTGTGGGGAAGTAGATCCATCTGTCTGATGTCTGTGTAAGACAAACTGGTAGAAACCAGAATAAGACCAGAATTTGAAAGTGAAAGCCATGTCTCACAATGCATTTGACTACAAAAGAACGCACAGGGACATGGAAAAGAATGGCCCAGTCAATACAGTATGATGAGATTTTGGAAAGCACACAGATGCTTCTTCATAACATGGATAAAAGTTGCCAGTTGACTGGACAGAAATATTTACCTTTTAAATGAAAAGACATGACATGAATTATGGAAATAAATGCCTAGATGAAGTGAGAAGCCACTAGCAGAATCCCACAGAGATTTGGGTTAGGACCTGTGTTGTTCAACATACATAATGGTCTGGGAAAAAAGGACTTAAGAAAATGACAAAATCATGGCAAGTCTTGCATGTGACACAAAAATTGCAAGGAATGTCATGATACAGAATAATTGGATGATTGTCTAACAGGTCAGCTGAAATTTAGGCTAGTGGTATTTAAGATTTATAAGTTAATAATTTCTCTACATCCCAAAACTGTTGTTTTTCCATGGAGAAGATCTCTGTATATTTATAAAGGTTTTCTGAATTGACAGTTCAAAAAGCAGATTGACAATACAGATGGAAATACAGGATTTTTATGGAAATCACTGATGAAATATCAGAATATGTGATGGTATAATTCCTTCATGTGCCCAAAGCTTGAACAATGAATTTAGTTTTGGTAATCAGACTACTAAACGGTGCAGAGAAAGGTCTCAAGTAATATCAGAAAAAGAGAACTGCCCTCACACAAGTACCTCTTCAGATGGAAGAAGAGATGACTGAGGGAGGGTGTGATAGACATCTATAAAATCAACAGCTGTGCAGAGAAGGAAAAGATAAATAGGTTGTGTCACATAGATAGAAAGCAACCAGCAGCCAATAAACTTCTTACAATGTTAGTTACTCCATCATGCTTTTCTGCATTTCTTTGACAGCTGCTACACCAGGGAACAGCACATAAATTTTCCCATGCCATGTGTTACATATAAAACTGCTCCCTGTGTGACAGTTGAGAGTGTTTAACTGCAGTGCCTCTGGGAGACAAAACGGGATGTCTGTGCCAACCTGTGGCCCAACTCTGCACCCAGGAGACTCTCCTGCCAAGAACCTCTGCAGCCTCTGCAATTGTGGTGACAACACACATCCCCTCCTTCCCAGAGTCACATGGAGTTATGAAAACTGGCATCACCCTTTCAGCAAGACAGGACAGGTCAAGGTTGCACATTCCTTTTGTGAGGTCCTAGTGAGTTCTTACCAACCCTGCTGGCTTGTGGCACTTAGGTCACCAGGTGAGGTACTGAAGAAAGATATTAAACAGTGGGATATGATACTCCAGGTATGGTTTGACACTTGTACTGTTTGACACTTCCTACCCCTTCTACTAATGGTCTTGGCTCCAAGGATGGGAGACAATTGATAATGCAGAGTATGCAAATACACGACTCAGGCAAGAACAAACCTTAGACTACAAAGAACAGTGCACTGGAGGTGTGCTACTGAGAAGTGCTTACCCTGCCCAGGGTATCCTTAAACATTCTTCTTCCTTCGGGACACATCCACATTAAACACCTTAACGCTTCTACCACGCAAGATATCAGCTCCTAACTCATACATGCATGCATGGTTCCTTCTCTACTAAGACAAAGCATCTGCTTCCCATCAAAACAGAACATTACTGCCCACCAAATCCTGACAACCTTTAAGATTAATCACATTCTACTCTGTGGAGTTTTCTCTGGGCTGGGAGTTACATTTAGGAAGTCCAAGGCTCAGGCACATGTAGTGAAAACCCTCTATCAAAAATATAAGTAAACTTTCATGACAACAAAGGCAATTTCTTTCTGTAGGCAAAAGAGTCAAAGTTTCCCTACATCCCCTATTCTGTCTGAACCACATTCTTGTTCAAATGTGGACTGACTAAATGATCCAGAATGGCAAGAAATTCTCAGTGAGGCTGGAGAAGATTCTCACACCATCACTGAAGTCATTCCAGCCTTCAATGCCTCTGTGAATCCCAAGATTTCAGTGCACTGCCTACTGAAAACTCCCTTTTCTGGAGTGTCTCTGATGCAGTGCTCCTGTTGTGGCCATTACAGTGACCAGGCCAGAGTTCAACATTCGGTGGGGCCAAATGACAAGCTGGGGAGAACTTCTGTTCTAGTAGGACCATACTTTGAGGTGATACCTGCTCAGTCCCCCTCCAGGAACGATTTAAAGAGTTGCCTTCATACACCACAAGCGCATATCACGTATGGGCTGGAGGAAGACCTGGGAATGTCAAAGTCTGGGGGAGGAATGACTGTCCAGAGGGTTGGGAAACACACCATGACATTCAGCAAGAGCTAACACTGCAACAGAATCCACATTATAAGGAAAAGTGAATGAAAGGCAGTCTGTCAAAGGCAGGCCAAAATATCTTTTTCAGATAAGACTGTCCAGGCAAAGGAGTTGTGGCATTCCTGATCTAGCTGAATCAGAACAGCCAGGATCTGGAACAAATCCAGCAGAGAAACTGCTGTTAAGGTGGAAAACAGTCAGGCATTGAGCACTGGGAGGTGGGGAAAGAAGTGCTTCCCACCCAACAGCCAACCTGCCAGCTCAAAATATTCTGGCAGTGTCTGGACAACAAGTGAGTGACAAGCACATTTGGCAAGTTCCTCTGACTGACCTGGCTGGGAAGGCACCACATCCCTATTTCTTTCCCATATGAGCCATATGTGCTACTTACTCAGTGCTGACAGGGTGGAAGTTTGATGAAAAGCAAATAGGTCAAAACAAAAGAGAGAGAAACAAACCAGAACAGTGGGTTTGTAATCAAAGTGTCCAGCCCAATATGTCATCAGAAGACTATTTGTTCATTTGCAACATTTCTTGGGTCCAGATGAAGAGAACAGGCAGTCAAAGTGAAAACCACTGTAAAGTGTACTTTTCTGAGTGAAATTAAGATGTGTTTGCACACACTGTCAGGTGTCAGCGCAGGTAGCAGAAGAGATGGGAGGGCATTTGGTTCAAGGCAGTAGCTGGTGTAGAAGGTGTGTGCAGGCACTGCTATACATTGACACAGGGCCTGGAGCCCAGGGGCTCCTGCTCTAGAGCCAGGACACCCCTTTGTTTGCACTGGCAGCAGCCAAGCACAGGCAGTGCCAGTCCCAGCCACTGCTTGTGGCTCTGGGCAGAGTGCACACCTGGCAGGCAAAGTATTCTGTGCATTCATGGAGTGGTTGGAAAGCCGCTGGAGCCAGGGCTGGCTGGGGCCTCTCCTTGTCTGGGCAAAGCAGCACAGGCTGGGCTCGGTGATACTGGTTCCAGGTAATGCTGGCACCAGGTAATGCTGGCTCCAGCTGAGAGTTGCTTCAGACTGACATTGGTTTTGAATTTGGCAAGTGATTCATGTGAAGTGCCTGAGACAGAGCCTGGGAAGGCAACACTCCATTGGATGGATTTGCAGGGATCTGTTCCACCTAAAAGCAAGTGTGTGGCTCACCAGTGTCCCTTGGGTGCTGGCCAAGGCCAGAAGCGAGGAGCAGATCTGGAGGAAGCACATGAGGCTGGCACATCATGGAGAGGGGAGATGAATGGCTGGGACTGATGGCAGACCTGAAACACGTTCCACTGCCTTTGGGGGTTCTGAGGGGCCAGCAAAGCATCCTATCAGAGGCAGGAGCAAGCAGGGTGGCACAAATGTGTGGCAGACATAGTGACTCTGCAGCACATTGCCTCAGGTCTGAAGCAGAGCAGAGGTTTGGCAAGCAGCTCCTATATCAGGTCACTTGAGGCTGAAGAATGTCTTGGCTGTCCCTCCAGTAGATT